ATTGTTTGAGAGAGATTTTTTGAAGAAGAATTGATTTTGAATAGTGTATGATGGGAAATGTGTGGTTGAAAAAGAAGAAAAAATTATTGATGTGATGGAAAATATTATTTTATTGAAAAATTTGTGGTTGAAAATGAGAATTGATTTACTGTAGAAAATGAGAATCTGTATCAAACATGCCCTATATTTCACAATTATTAAATTAAATTAAATATTTAAATGTAATATAATATAATTATCCCACCCCACCTCACCTCACCTCCCCTTCCGACGACTACTCCTGTGACCGACGAGCACTCCGACGACTGTTCTCCGGTCACAGATCAAAAATTTGGTAGGTCACTATTTTTTTATCGGTCACAGATAAAAAATTTTGTAGGTCACGGATTATTTCAAGGTTACAGATCGACCAAAAAAATTTAGTTGTCACAGGTCACAGATCGACCAAATAGATGGTCACAGACACTTCGACCCATCCGTCGCACCCGTCCCCTAATCCCACCAACAATAACACCAACAACCACCACCACCGTCATCGTCGCCTGCACAACATCACCAACGTCGCCACCATCGCAACACCACCACAACAACAATAATAAAAAAAAACAACCATCATCATCAACGCCTGCAACACAACACCAAGAAACCCACCATCACCACAGTCGACCCCACCAAAACACGACCACAACCACCGCCACAACAGTAACAAAAAACGACCACCACCCCACGGGCCACCATTATCTCACACGGGGCCCCACACACAGAGGTCCACCGCACGGATTCCCTCAGCCACACACACACATCCGCCACACATAGAGATCTGCCCCGCCGCAGACCCACACACATCCAGCTCAGCTTCATTCAATTCCAGTCCTTGGTGTCTTCTACAGCTGCTTCCCTACAGCCATTGGTGTCTTCTGCAGCTGCTTCCCCACAGCCACACATCGTGGCGACGTTGCGACGTTGTCGGCAGCAGCTCCTCGACGCTGCTGTCGGCAACATCGCGACGCTGCTGTGAAGGCGTTGCTGCGATTGAAAATGGAAGAAAAACTGTTCCTTGAGCAACTATCTGCTCCTTAGGAATTTACATTTGAGACTTTAATGCTCTAATTGTCAGTACATTATTGGTAATGTTGTTTGACCCCCATGAATTTAACCCATGCTGTTGTCATAGGGTCATTGAAAACCATGGTTGTACTTTGTTAATTAAATTATTGGTGCACTGTAAATTGTTCTGAGTGTTTATGCCTTTTGTAGCATTCGTACATAATTGATGGAGTTACTTCATATTATGTAGTCACCTTAATTACTGCGTTTCC